CTGAGGCAGGAGAATTGCCTGAACCCAGGAGGCGGAGGTGGCGGTGAGCCAAGATTGTGCCATTGCACTCCAGCCTGGGTAACAAGAGCGAAACTCTGTCCCAAAAAAAAAAAAAAAATTTTTTTCTGAAATGGAGTCTTACTCTGTCACCCAGGCTCAATACAGTGATGCAATCTCAGCTCACTGCAACCTCTACCTCCTGGCTTCTAATGATTCTCCTGCCTCAGCCTCCCGAACAGCTAGGACTACAGGTGTGCACCACCATGCCCAGTTAATTTCTGTATTTTCAGTAGAGATGGGGTTTTGCCATGTTGACAAGTCTGGTCTCGAACTCCTGACCTCAGGTAATCTACCCACCTCACTCTCTCGAAGTGCTGGGATTACTGTCATGAGCCACTGAACCTGGCCTACATTTTCTTGACTGAGAAAATTACTCAGTTGGTAATTGGAGAACATGAGCAAGATTCATGTTATTTATTTTTAATAAAACAGGTATTGCTGTGTCTAATTTAGACCTGATCACCTGTCTGGAGCAAGGAAAAGAACCCTGGAATATGAAGAGACATGAGATGGTGGCCAAATCCCCAGGTAGGTGAGAGTGAAAAGAACAAATGACACAGATGAGAGGTCCAAAGGTGAAAAAGAAAGCCAGTCCTTAAAATGTAACTTGGAAATTTGTGTTCCAAAAGAAACAGTTTCTAGGCAGCTGTTTTTTGTTTTTTTTTTAAACTTCAACATAGGAATATCTTCTGTCGTATATTTTTTAATTCTTTAAAAATTCTACTTTACGGGCAGGTGCATTGGCTCACACCTGTAATCCCAGCACTTTGGGAGACCGAGGAGGGCAGATGACCTGAGGTCAGGAATTCAAGACCAACTGACCAACATGAAGAAACCCTGTGTCTACTAAAAATGCAAAATTAGCCAGGCATGGTGGCACATGCCTGTAATCCTAGTTACTCAGGAGGCTGAGACACAAGAATTACTTGAACCTGGGAGGCGGGGTTTGCTAAGATTGCACCACTGCACTCCAGCCTGGGCAACAAAAGCGAAGCTCCATCTCAAAAAATTAAAAATAAAACATTTGGCCGGGCGCGGTGGCTCACGCCTGTAATCCCAGCACTTTGGGAGGCTGAGGCGGGTGGATCACGAGGTCAAGAGATCGAGACCATCCTGGTCAACATGGTGAAACCCCGTCT